CTTTAAAGCCACCTGGATTCATCCTTCAGGTGTTTTTTATTTTTTATTTTTTGCAGCGCGCGCTTCTGTGAGGCGCGGTCACATCGCATCAGGATGAGACTGCGCACAACACACGTGCACAATTAATTGTAAGCGGACCCGCGCTTTTTCTCCCAGCAGCACCTCGTCCTCCTGTGTGGTCACCGCGCCTGGATCAGCCGGGATCTGTTTTCTGCGTTTTCAGCGTTTCGTTGTTGGGCTGAAGTCAGAGAGAGAACCCGCGGACCCGGAGAGGAAATACACCCGGGAAGATTTGTGGATTTTATAGAATTGTGTGTGTAAACTGTTGTGGAGCAGAGAGCCGCGCCTCAAGTGATGGAGAATTAAAAGAAGAAACTGTGAGAAAACGAAAAAGTTTTGTCTCACTCGTCTCCAGCGATGGAGCGAAGTTCAGGTTGTGAAAGTTAGAGAAGAAATGTGAAGAAGGACCAGTCTCTGCTGCTCGCTCGTGCAGACCGGATGTGTGTGTGTGTGTGTGTGTGGATGTGGATGTAAAAACGCCGCTGTGAGTTGAGACTTCTCCACCTCTCCCCGCTGAAACTCGACACCTCCTGCCCCTCAACCTCTGCCCGCGAACCGGGGCGCCCCGAGCCGGAGGAGAGAGCCGCGATGGGACGATCCAGATACTTAATGTGATGGGTAAGAATCCGACCTGTTTATACACACAAGGGTCTGCGGCTCCTGCGGAGAGGATGCGGCTGTGCCACTGTCTTCAGAGGAAAAAATAAACCTTTTAATGCGTCGAAACATTTCATTTCACTCGTTAAACAGCTTCTCAGCAGCTAAAACTTATTTTTATTTCAGTGGTTAATTGAGTAATTTAAACAAATCTCAGCTGCTTTGGTTCATGTCACTTTTACGCACGTGAATCAAGAAGTTTAGTAAATTATTTCTCGAACAGTGACGGAGAGAGAGACACTTCAGTCTGAGTCAAGATACAAACCTGAAACTGGACTGAATGAACGACAGTGAACCTAATTTTTTTTTTATTTTTTACGCAGCTTCTGTTTGCGTAAAAAATCTGCGTAAAAGTGGCACCACGACCTGGAAACAGGAAAACAGCAAATCAACCAGATGGTGCGTTGATGTTAATGTTAATAATATCACACACTCGCAGTGTCAGGTGACTGATCTCATATGAAACATTAATTAAACATTAAGTGATTAAATTCTTTTATGAGTTTATCATGCTGCTTGTGATTTCAGACACTGAGGTCACGTCCTTCAAACTCTCTCCCCCTCAGACTCAGAATCCTTTTCATTATTAATTTAAATTTAAATATGAGTCTAAAAATATTCAGATATACTTTGAAAATGTTCTTAACGGTGACTGACTCATCAGAGTTTATAATCGTCTCATCTACATCTGTAACATGCTTCTTCTGTAATAAGGTGATATAGTGTCAGAGCCGTGAAACTCTTCCTGACATGAACACCGACTGACATTAATATGGATCCATGTGTTTATAAATGTATATTGTATTTTATTGAGTAATTTTCTCAAAACAAATTTTAATAATCTGCCAGTTTGTTGAGAAAAATGAAATGAATTTAATGTTTTCCATCATAAATCAACTTGTTTAAAGAATTAGCTCGAAGAAAGTGTCATTTGTTTTGCTTGTATTGTCTTTGTGTGATGCTGCAGCTCCAACAGACGGTGGAGGGTTTCTTTTTCCTGCAGTGTATGTGCTTCTTCTGTATTTGATCTTTTTAAGCTGCTGAGATTCGTTCAGGTCTGAGTGAAGACGAAGATAAATTGCGTTGAGTTGACTGAAGCTCTCAGTGAAGACGGATGAAGGTCGTACGCTGACCTTTGAGTCTGCGTCTCGTCCGGTGATTTGTGTGTGATGCTGCGTGGTTGTGTAGGTGTAAGCGGCTCCATCGCTATGGAAACCCAAATGCATTATCCAGTGATGAGCTGATACTCAGGGTGCTGATGGGTCATGGATCATGAAAACACGTGATGAGCTCATGAAGATAACTGTAGTCTCTCCTTCCTGAGTCACAGCGTTAAATACAGACCAGGCGTTTTTACAGAACACTGTGATGTCACAGTGAAGTTGACCTTTGACCTTTTGGATATAAAATGTCATCGCTTCATTTTAACCTTATTGACATTTGAATTAATCTGTGTATTAATTAGTGAATGAATTTGAGTTATGGCTAAAAATGTGTTTTGTGAGGTCGTCGTGACCTTGATCTTTGACCTTTGACCTTTCATCACCAAATTCTGCCCAGTTCATCCTTGAGTCCAAGCGAACGTTTTTACCAAACTTGAGGAAATTCCTTCACAGTGTTACAGAGATATCGTGTTCACAAGGCCAAAACCACATTTTGTGAGGTCACAGTAACCTTGACATTTGACCTCTGACCCCTAAAATCTAATCAGTTCATCTCTTAGTCCGAGTGAATGTTTGTGCTCAAGGTGGTCTTGAGAGACCACATTCAAGTTGTTTTCGGCAACAAAATCCTGGTTGCGTGCTGAACTGATCAGATTTTGGTGGCTAAAGGTCAAAGGTCAAGGTCATGGTGACCTCACAAAATGTTTTAGTTTTGGTCTTGTGAACGCAACAACAGCACTTTGAGGAAATTTCTTCAAATTTGGCACAAGCATCCACTTGGACTCAAGGATGAGCTGATTAGATTTTGGTAGTCAGAGGTCAAAGGGTCAAAGGTCAGTGTGACCGCACAAAACACTTTTTTTCACACAAATGGTTCATATTTTCTATGACTCTGGATAAACAAGGATGTAACCTGGAACTAGTCGGAGTGGCGGAGGGATACGAGCACGAGGAGGTGACTCTAGTTCTTTAATGTACATGTTTATGTATACGTGACACATGTATGTTGTATGTTTGAAGATATTAACACCTGGAACAGCTGGAGGAACAGAGAGAGATGGTTTTAGCCGACGACAGAAGACGCTCAGAGGATCCACAGGTAGAATTCACCTGTGACGTCTCCTCAGCAGAGACCGAGTCGATCGTCTGTCCTGATCACAGAGTCGACGCCCTCTCGTGTGTGTTGGAGGTTTGATGGCGTGTTGTCGCTCCCGCCCTGCGACGCACTCCTGCCCACGCTGGTCACGCCCACGCGGGAAGCAGAGGAAACGAGATGATGATGATGATAATGATGATGATGATGATGATGACGGTGATGAGTCACGTCTCCTCTCTGGTGTTTTACTATTCATCACACTTCTGCTTTGGTTCCTGACTTATTGTATAAAACATGACGGGAAGCTGAATATGAAGAATTCAGATTTAAAATTCATAATGTAACATCAGGGATGAGTGAGTTCACCCTCCGGCAGGACCTTTGACCTCCAGGGGAACATGTTCAATCTCCAGCTGGTGTCACATTAAGGCTGAAGAACATTCGCTGGCGTCGCTTTAGTATTTTAATTTTTCTTTCCATCTGCTAAATCACAATTAATTCTGGTTTGAGAAAAGATTTATTGCATTAAACATGAGGGAAAAGTGAATAATAAAATACACAATGTCTCTCTCTCTCTCTCTCTCTCTCTCTGTGTTATGTAATTTGAAGATTACAAACAGACTTTCTGGACGTGTCCTCATTCACATGTGACTCGTGAAGAAGAGGGAAACTGAAGAACCTCGTGTCACCGTCTCAATCCCACATTTGTTTCCTCTGTTGGCTCCTACTTTCTTCTTCTGTCTTGAAAAACTTTCCAGAGACAAATAAATATCATGATTGTTTTCAGTGCTGAAGGCTTTTTCTACTCTCCTGTCGGCCTGTCTCTGGAAGTAAAGCTCACAGCTTTCATCCACGGCGTGCAGGAAGACGAACAATAGAGCGTCATGAGCGGCCGTGGCGGCTGCAGCTCTGCAGGTTGGAGGGCGCTCTGCTGACTGCCTCAGTGTTTAATTGTCCGGCTGCGTTGGGAGCACTCAGCCGAACGCTTACTCTAAAAAATGCTAAATGTTTAATGGAATTCATTAACAGGAGGTTTATTTAGACTTTGAGTGACAGTCGAGGTCGGTCTGGAGGTTTTCTCACCTTCTCAACCTGAACTTATTATTATTATTATTATTATTATTATTATTATTAGGCAGGAAAACCATGAGAAGCTGCTGATATTCTGGTTCAGTACGAAGGAACTTTTTGACCTTGTGAAATCTGGATCTACTGTTGGTTTGTTTCCTAACCTTCTGTCTGATTTCTGGGTTTCTTTGTCGCCGTGTTCCCAGACGTCAGATCTCAGCACAACGGAAGTGTTTTAACTACTGATAGAAATGTGACCGGTGGATATTATTTATGGTGGTTAGCAGTAAGCTTCCTGGGAGGTTTTGTTCAGGCTTCGCTCCACCCTGCAGAGATCAGTGCTGATGTGTCAGTCAGATTCATCATCTTCATCACAATCAGACCTGCTAATATTTGCACTTGGCTCCCTGTGACTTTCTTTTTTTTTTTGACTTGGCTGAATTTCCTGTCAGAAATGTGGCTGAGTCGTAGCAGATAAACGATAAAAATCGATTTACTCTGAGCTGTAAAACCCTCAGTAATAACTGCTGGCAAGAGGAAACCACTTTAAACGTGTTGGAGCTGTACAGTGGAGTTGTAAAACTTTACAGCAGCATCATTATCGCTCTAACCTCCTCACTTCTCCTCTTCACTCCCTCCTCATCATCCTTCTGTCTCTCCCTCCTCCGCTCTTTTTCCACATCCTCTTCTCCTTACTGTCTTTTCTCTTCTTCTCCTCGTCTCCTCTCCTCCCCATCACACCTTCCCCTCATCTCTCTTTTCCCTCTCCCTGACCTCCATCTTTACTCCCTCCTTGACTCTCCCTCACCCCCTCCTCTCATTATCATCTTTCCATCTGTTCTCTCTCCCTCTCCTCCTTTCTTCTCCTCCTTCCTCATTTCTTTTTCCACTTTATTCTCATCCCTCTTCCTCCTCCTCCTCCTCCTCCCTCAGGCTGTTGATGGAGAGGATTTCGAATGTCAGCCGGGACAGTGGTCATCGCAGGAGGAATTCTGGCTACAGTCATCTTACTGACCATCGTCGCTGTACTGTGTTTATGTAGGTTGCAGGTACGACTGTTTTACTCTTCACTGCACTTCTGAGAGAGTTAGCAGTGTGACAAGTTACTTGTGTTTAAAAACAGAAATGTAAAATATAATCTTTAACTGAAACATTAGTAGACGTTAAACTCATGAGAAGTCAGAGAATCGCCAAAGTCTTTAGGATTCATCCTCTGGAAATTAAATTTATATACAACATTTGAAGGTTTTGCTGCCGACAGGAGAAGGTATTAAATGTAGTTAATGAACATATTCAGCAAGTTGCCAAATTACTGACACTAAATGAATTTTATGCCTCTGCGCCGGTGATAGCGCTAAAAAAAATGTTTGTTGTCACAACATTATCAGGAAAACAAAGTAATTGTCTCGAGTCACCATGAACGTTTGTACCTAATTTAATGCCGATCCATCCAGTAGAAGTTGAGCTAATTCACACACGTAGCTTCATGTTATTAGCAGTAGAGGTGAAATGATCATATGACAGTTTATCTTGATCTTAATCGTGATCCTGCATCCTGTTTCCGCTCTGGTTTTATTGTGAAAGTCATGACGGGAAGTTGTGATTTGTATCTTTCCGCCGCTTTGACATTTCTTTCTGATGTTTGCAAATTGTGTCACAGTCAGACTTTTTGTTCAGTTTATATGGAGTATTTGTTTGGACATTTATTTATTCATTTATGAGGGTGATATATGTGAGTGTTTTGATTTGAAAGGTCAGTCGTTGCTAACAGCTAACAGCTAGCTTCCTGTCTCCGGCCTGCAGCAGGTCTCTCGTCCCGTTGGCGGACTGTAACTCCATCGTCTTGGACTGCAGCTGGTGACGGTGGTTCTTGTTCTGGTTCATGTGGAGCTACACCAGACTCACGAGACCACAGAGCAGAACGAGGACCGCCGTCTGCAGCTACAGTCAGCTAGCTGGTTAACAGCTAACAACGGGCTGGTTAACAGACTGAGCTGTTAATTGAATGATTAAATATCTATAATATAGAAACTTTTGTCTCGTCTGAAAGTCGATCATATGCCAAAGTACGATCATCCGTGGTCGTCGGGTCGCCCCCCACTGCTGAGCGGTATGTTAGTGTTAAACGTTGTGACGATGACTCAGACCTGTAGTTGTCTCTTCTTGTGTTTAACTGCACCAGTATTACTGCTGTAAGAGGGAGGAGTCTGAGAAGGGGGAAGAGGAGGAACCAGAGCTCGCCACCATGTCGCCGTCCCGCCCCCTGGCTCTGTCCGCTCCTCCGACACCTCCGACGCCGGAGCACTACAGCGACGAGCCCGAGGCCTACCCCCCCACCTTCCTCACTGAGGCCAACGGGCCCGCCAGCTTCTCCCCCACCCCTCCGCCACGCAGGTGCCAGCGCTCGCATGCCTTCTGCCCGTCCTGCACCCGCTGTTCACTGCCCTTCTACCTGCAGCACCCGGAGAGGCTGTGCAACGGCGGGCGCAGGATCAGCTACAGGACTGTGCAGCAGCAGGACCTGGAACTGCCCATGGACCTGGCCAGCTTCTACCAGAAGCTCAACCTCATCCGCTCGGTCACCATGAGGGAGGTGGTCACCCACAGCGTCAGCACCGACGTCTAGGAGCAGGCGGGATGGAGGCGGCGCCGTCCCACTGGAAAGGCTGATGCAAACAAACTGCTCTGAGTCGGTACCAATGACTGTGTCTAAAGATGGACGCCATGACAGCTCCGCAAAAGTGAAGCCAAAATATCTCCCATCGCCCCCTGGTGGCTGGCAGCAGTACAGATCATAAACCCCGCCCCCTCCACGTTAGCGGACATTTTTCCCCAAAGATGGTTTCCGTCATTTTATGTAGTTCTTATCACCCTGATGTTCAAGTGTTCATTTGTCTGATAAGTTTGATTTTTATCAATTATTCGATGCTATAAAACGGGAGTGCGACGCCATGATTGACAGCTGTGACTGACTCTAATCGATGCCTCCTGCACAAGATGGCAGCTCCCGTATCTGCGATATTTTGGCTTCATTTTTGTGCGGCGGGAGGAAGTGGAGAACGCGGCGTCCATCTTTACATACAGTCATTGGTCTGAACTGTCTGCAGACGCACTAACTTAACCAGTTATACAAGTATTGTGCTGATTAATGTCAACACTGAGGGCTTTTACGTGACAGCCATGTTGGAGGTCTACATCTCTGAAGACACTGCGAACATAAACTGTTTCTGAGAGACCTGAACGGACTCATTTTTGTCAACTAATCATTTCGACCAATACGTCTGATTTTGTGTTTTAGCTAGTTAAGTAACTACTAACCAAACGTGTGTCAAAGTATAAACAAGTACAAGTACAAATTTGAGCTTTTGTCAGTAAGTTTATCACAGATTTTTTGTTTTTGTTTGAATGCACCGCACATGAGACAGAAATGGACGTAAAAATCTTAAACAAGGTCAAATGTAAACAGGACCTTTCCTAAAGGAGGCTGGAAGCTAGTTAGCCAGCTAGCTAGTCTGGTATTAGCCTCAGTTATTCTCCCTTACGGACACGCACACGGACACCATGGACATGTCATGTTAGTCTTGGTAACTCTTGGACGTTGGTGCCCTTGTAGCGTATCGGAGGACACACAGACGTCCGCACAGCGCCGCGAGATGTACGTCACTCGCACTCTCCCGGACGCCAAGTATGAGACGAGCCTTATTGTCAACGAATCCCACGTGCGGACCAAAACCAAAACGTATTGTGTGTGTACCCAAACCCTGATGTATGTTATTCCTCTGTGCCATAGAGCTCCATTGTTGTCCAGAAGCTAATAAAACACATCAATGAGCCACACTTTCACTGGGTCACATGTTCCTTCATTACCATCAATACATACTCCGTCCTGCTTAATCCGATTAATCCGCCTCTGAAAATAGTCCCCAGCAATTTAGTATATCCTCCTGCTTCAGTAATGTCTTTTAACAACCAGTAATCAGCTGTTTTAGGAAATTAATTAAAAAATAAAAGACTTAGTAAACTATTTATTTGTGAGTCTGAGATCTACGTCTTCAGAGTGTTTGGAGCTGAGAGCTACAGACACAACGAGGAAGTCAGAAATCACTGAGAGGCGACGAACACGTTGTTGGTTTGTGTCTTTTCATGGGATTCAGTAAGAAAAATATTGAATAAAACCAACCTCATCCTTTAAGCTCTGTGCTCAGGGAAGATATAAAGCTTCAGACTGTCGCTGACTTCCACCTACGGTCACACAAAGCTGTTTGACTTCCACCCTGTTTCTCACTGTTCTGAAATATATCATGTGTGAAAAGCCAAATCTCCAACATACAGTTTATAAATGCGGGTGCAGCTGCAGTTACTTACTGCACCACCACACTGGTTCATTGCTGCAGTGGAGAACCACAGACATGCAGCTGACACTTTTCACATTTATTTCTTTCATGGTGAAACTCCTAGATACTAGAGTTTAGTATCTCTATGTGTGAAGCTGCACAGGTGTTTTCACTGATTATATAGGTGTGTACTGACTAACCTCTAACTGACAACACCTGTGCAGGTGTGCAGAGCCCTTGAGGATGAAAACCAGCTCTTAATCATTTTTCTTCATATCAACATCTCGGTCATCGGGAAAAAACGAATTTGTTTTAAAAGAATTACTATGGTTGTTTGGTATTATTTCTGTGAGCAGGTCATTAGTGCACAAACGACGCTTTTAAGAGAACAAATGATTATTTGTTTTCTTTTGTGACGCCTGTTGAAGGATTTTGATTTTTGTTGCTTTTGTTAATTATGAAGCAACAATATAAAACAGGAAATGAAGGAGGTTTGGGACGGTGACAAAATATTGTCAGTGATATCAAGAGTTGTGATTAAAATAATAAGTTGATATCAAAAACTCAACTCTTTATGTCTTAAAATGAATTTTTGCTATTAAAAATTGAACATAAATTGACATTAAAATTACTCAGATAATCACAAATAATCATCTGATAGTAAATGAATCAATTTAATTTAAAAAAGCTTTTTCATACATCTTTTGAAATTTTAAATCTTTTCTATCAATAATTCAGTTTTTTAGTTTAAGAAACAAACTTTAATTAGTGACATTTGAACTTATTCGCCCATAAATTCCAATATCAGATGGAAACGTTTGTCATTTAGAATTGGTTGAACTGATGACACTTTTGTTCTCAGTTAAAAGTAAAAATACACAAAAGCTAGAAGCCACAGCTCCACGACACAGAGCTCCCTCCGTGTTCACTTGTGCTTTTCTTCTTCTGATGATTCAGACGGTGAAGAGCCGAAGTGGTGAAACAGTCGGGATGAGACTGAGTCTCCGCGTGTCGATTCAGAAGACACGCTGCATTTTAAAGGGCTTTTCTGAAGCGTGCGATTAATCAAAGACGAAGCTGTAGAGAGATGCTGCACTGAAGACCAGAGGTCATGTGACATCCAAGGCCTTTTACTACAAGATGAGATAGAAGCATTTAGGAAGAGACTGCTTGATGTTCAGATGCACTCATATCAGAATTTAAGAAATGTTTTCACGACTGTTTATTTTCCTTCCTGTCATTACCTGGAAAAGGGCGGGGCATCATCTCCTGCACACAACAGCTCTCTGGAATCAAGATTAAATGTCCTAAACATCATCAATTTTTTTCAGGTTTCATATACCTCTATTTTCTTGTTGAGACACCTCTGACCTCTGACCTCTGACCTATTCTCTGCCCTGAACTCAACAGCAAACTACTGTCCACAACCCACTCCACCTATGACATGACATAGTTGGAGGACAGGCATCCTGGGAGTCTCTGCTCAGGGTGAAAAAAGTTCTTTGCAACAGAAATATCCATCCTGACCAATAAAGCCTCAGGTGTGGATCCATTCTGGATATTTTTCAAAGTTCCTGAAGGAGATTTGAGATTAAAAACACTTTCATTATGTTTATTAAGTTGGAGAAAACTCTGAATCTGCTGCTTCTGCTTCAGCATAAACGTTTCTCAGTAGGTGAGAGGTTCGATGCTGTGACACTGACCAGCAGGGGGCGTCAGCTGCTGCTGTCAAACCTGCGTCTGCTGTGGAAGTGATTTCATTCAGTGTTAATGAAATGATGCAGAAGTGTTTGGTGTCTGTGTGACCTACAGCAGAGCAGAGAGTTGATGCCAAACAAGCTTTTTTATCAGTTTAAATCAGACAAGTCAATTTATTTACATCAAAGAGACATGAGTCATTTTTAATCTTACAACCTCAACCTACCGGGGGGGTTTTCTGTTGACAAAGAGACTTAAAGCTCCTCCAGTGTAAAGGTCTGTGTCCATGTGTAGTGTGATTATAGATCAGCTCTAGCTTCTATATTAACACTGTGAAAGTATCAAAGCCTCAGTCCACAGAGAAATGCACACAGCCTGTATTCAGAAACTGAGCCTTAAAACCAGCCGTCAGGACTTCTGGAACTTTGTGATGTCACAACAAAGCAGTCACCAAGCCCCGCCCACCTGGACCCACCAGGCTCAGAGCCTCCTCTCTTCTGATTGGCTCACCGACCTGTTGTTACTAGAGCTCCAGAGAGAAGCCTGAGAGAGGAGATGTAAAACTACACTGAGATGGTTTTTATATCTTCTGATGGATCAACACTTCAAATAAAACACAGAAGAAGAAGAAAATATGGAGCTTTAAATCTCACGAGTTCATCCTGGTTAAAATAACTTCTCCCCCAGTTCATATAAAAAACGACAAAGACGACAAACGTTCATTTGAACTGTTATTTAATTGAAATACAAGTCAGTACCATTAGCTTTTCAGTTTATTATCAACAGTACACAATCTCCATACTTACGTTTTGTACAAAGAGGTATCAGTTATATAAAAACACAGTACACAATAGTTAAAAATGAGACATACATGTACACGTCTGAATACGTTTCAACCATACTTCAAGTGTCAGGAATCTTTCTGCCTGTGTTTGTATCTACTCCCTCCTCCTCCGTCACACACACAGACCAGAACTGGCATCAGTTGAACCGATGAGTAACCATCGGCTGGCATCAGGAGCGTCACGATTAATGAAAATGTGCTATGACTAATAAATATGCTTCCACAGCCTGCAGGCGTGCCGGCACGGCGCCAAACGACAGGGGGTGGAATGGAAATGTACATTTGTTTTTGTTTTGTTTTTTTTACTTCCTGTTGGGGCCATGCCAGACACCAAACTTGGAACACAATTAAATAAGATTTCATAAACAGTATCTGTATTAAATATTCTAGCCATGCAGTATATTCAGTTGAGAAATAATTTAATAGACCTTTTCATTGCAGCGATGAACACAACGAGAGCGAGCTGCTAACGACGGAGGTTTGACTCCACTCTGTCTCCAACTCCACGTGTTGTTAGAGGAAGATTTTCTATCAGAGCTGAAACATTCAAGTGATAAATTATCAGCGTTTACTGTTTAAACCGGTTCATGGTTCAGATATGATGAAAACAAAAAAAAAAAAGAAAAAAGAACTGTAACATGAAAGACTGAAGGACGAGAATGAGCGTTGGGGTTTACGAAAATATGACAAACATTTTCTCATCTTCAGCGTCATTTTCCAATTTCTAAGAAGGTTCCTGGAAAGAAGTTTTCGATGAACGTACTAAAATGTGGAATCCACCTTCAGCCCTCAGACGGACAGACACAGTCAAACATCATATCACACATATTAGTTATTTTTCAGAGGGGGGGGGGGGGGGGGGGGGGGGGGGGGGGGGGGGGGGGGGGGGGGGGGGGGTGGGGGGGGGGGGGGGGGGGGGGGGGGGGGGGGGGGGGGGGGGGGGGGGGGGGGGGGGGGGGGGGGGGGGGGGGGGGGGGGGGGGGGGGGGGGGGGGGTGGGGGGGGGGGGGGGGGGGGGCGGGGGGGGGGGGGGGGGGGGGGGGGGGGGGGGGGGGGGGGGGGGGGGGGGGGGGGGGGGGGGGGGGGGGGGGGGGGGGGGGTCTGACGTTCCTACTGAAACCCAGAGATGATTTCCAGACTGAGAAGGAAACAGCAGCTGGTTCAACACTTTATTAGGAAACAACAGACCTAGAAAATAAATTTACTTGGGTTTAAATTGAGCTTTTTCTATTTTTCCTAAAATTCGTATCGTTTGTTCTTCCCAGGAAATTTCTCTGAAAATAGAAACTGAAAATAAAGCGTTGCCATCTTTTTGTTTTGTTTTTCTTCTCGTTACATGTTGGTTTTTAAATTTTTCTTTCTCTTTCTTTCGTCCTACGACCGAAGTGATGTCACCCTGTCAGCTCAGACAGTGGCCGGTCTCATGCTGAAAGGTTACTGCAGGTCATTTCGTCCCGTCTCCGCCTCGGCTTTCGCTGCGGTCACATCAGTAAAGGCCCCACACACCCTCACAGGTGTTTTCACACACTCTGACACACCACACCTTTACCCAGTCAGGTGGTTTTCACCTGTCCACACACACTGTCACAAACACACTGCTCAGAGGTTTCACAACCTCAGTCCCTCAGTGCTTTGAATTCAGTAAGAATCCACCTGTGCAGAGTCTGATCGTGCAGAGAGATGAACACCTGTGTGGCTGTGCAGGCTCTTTACAGAGAAACTATCCACCTTAAATCACAGTGTGGCTGCGACTGGTTCATCACCATCGGCTGTTTAACATGTTACAGTCTTCACCAGTTCTTTTTCTGTTTAATCCAAATAAAATTTCTTTTGCAGTTGATGAAGCATCAACAGGAAAATGTCTTTGTCTGTAAATCAAGATTTTAAACTTTCCAACTGACGAAGGGAGAAACATAAATCCAAGTGGAGGAAGTTCTTCTTCATAAGAAAAAAAAAAAAGATAAGCGTTTCCAACTCTTTATCTTCCTCTCATTATTCACAGTAACTGCTGTACAAGCACAAACGTACCCATGTGTTTCCTCATGCTGGAGTTATAGAGTCGGGGTGGAGGGAGGAGGCTGCCGTGTCCTGGACTAGGAGGGTGGAGGTCGTACGGCGCGGCACGAGTGGCAGCAGGCCTTGCTGTAGTACCAGTGGCTGCACAGGTTCACCTTCAGGGCCAGCAGGCAGTTGGTGGAGGGACGATCCTGGCAGCTCTCATCTGGGACACAAAGTCATTTCACCACAGTTAAATCTGAAGCCAGAAGTTCAGGTAGCAAAAACAATCCCCCCCTTTTCAGCTCCCTTCAATAAAAACATCAAGAAACATCAAAAATTATTGGGGAAAAACCAAAAAACATCAAGAAAAATCAAGAAAAATCTAAAAACATCAAGAAAAACATCAAGAAAAAAGCATCAAGAAAGTGGTGGCCTTTTAATTCCAAATGTCAAACTATGTATACAAGTCAAACTTTGGGCTTTTCGTTTGTCACAGGTGTGGCCTCACCTGGCGGCTCAGTGGGGCAGGCCTGCAGGGTGCACGTCTGTTTGGCCACCGGCTTGGTGAGGGGGTCGCAGCCTCGGACCAGCTCTCTGCCCTGGTAACACTTGACGTCCCTCATCCTCACGCCCACACCGCACGTCTTAGTGCACTGAGGAGAGACACAGTCGTCACACACCTTTCATTTCTCCGTCCGGACTGAAGAAGAATAAACATGTTTGCAAAACTTGGTAGAGAGAGAATCAATGTTTGTTTTCTGATGTACAAGATTAAAAAGATGGCATCATTAAACACACCTCTTCTTTTTCTTCTTCTCCCTTTTTCACATATTTGCAATTAAAATCTTTTTGTAAATATTCCTGAATCATAAAATATTTCCCTAATTTATTACGACACAATTTAGGAGTTGAAATGCGATGTGGCCGAGTGCAACATCCAAGTCTTCAGGATGACGACGACCCGGTCCGGCTTTCACAGCACCGAACACCAGAACCTGTGACTCTCCAGTCTGGATCTACAGCTGATTCTTCCTCTTCATCAAGGAGCAAAGTGAACGGTTTTTAAAGGCACCTGTTAGAACTAAAGCTGTGGAGCTCACTATCCTGACACAGGTGTGAGGGTGGACTCACCTCAGACCAGGGGGTGGTGTACCATTTGAAGCACGGCCTCTCGAAGCAGGTGTTTTCATCCTCTGGCTTCTCGCTGCTTCCGCACGCTTTGTCGTCAAAGATCTGGAACTTTCCTCCGCTGATGCCGACGCACAGGACCATCCTCCGCTTCACGCCACGACCGCAGGTCGTGTTACACTAGGAGGCGGGAAAATAAAAGTTACAGTGGATTCCTCGTCACTGAACGAAAACGCACTCCTGCTGATTTGGAAGAACCCATGTATTTAAACCCAGTATTTAGGTTTAAAGGATAAATTGATTTATTTATTTAAAGAGGTGATTCAATTAAAAACATAAACTCCTATGAGTGGGTCTTTAGATGGGTCTTTAGATTACCACCTTCCCACAATCCCCTGAACACACCACGAGGGGCCTGAGGAGATCAGGCCCCAGTTTAAAACTCTACTCAACACATACTTGTATCAAGCAGCTTTTATCTTTGGTTTCTACTCTTAGTTTAATTTCCTTTTATCTGCTTCTTTGCTTTTAACACACGTATTTGTAATTCTCCCTGTTATACTTGCCTTGCTAATTAGCACTTAGCCTCTCTTTCTTTATTGCTTTTGTTTTTATGTTTGTACATAAATATGTTTTCACATGTATAATTATATATATATATATATATATATATATATATATATATATATATAATGATATACAGCATCTAATTAAACGCCAATACATGCAAACAGTATCTCCAACATTTTCACCCACTCCTCTGGAGCCTTACAGGAGTCTCTCTCCTGGACGAGGCTGCATGTTGATCTGTCTCTGTCTTGACAGCTAATAACGTCCAGGTGTTATTTTATAACTTGCTGCCAGGAGGAACATCCAAGGGAAA